TAATTGATTTATTGATTAATTGGTTAATTGGTTAATTGATTAATTGATTTATTGATTTTTTGATTTATTGATTTATTGATTTATTGACTTATTGATTTATTGATTTACTGATGTATTGATTTATTGATTTATTGATTTAATGATTTATTGATTTATTTTTTATTCTTTGATTAATTGATTTATTGAATTAGTGATTTATTGATTTATTGATTTATTGATTTATTGATTTATTGATTTATTGAAATATTGATTTTATTATTTATTGATATATTGATTTATGAATTTATTGATTTATTGAATTATTGATTTATTGATTAATTGATTTATTGATTAATTGGTTAATTGGTTAATTGATTTATTGATTTATTGATTTATCTAATTATTGATTTATTGATTTATTGATTTTTTTTAAATTCTTTGATTTATTGATTTATTGATTTATTGAATTAGTGATTTATTGATTTATTGATTTATTGATTTATTGATTTATTGATATATTGATTTATTGATTTATTGATTTATTGATTTATTGATGTATTGATTTATTGATTTATTGATTTATTGATTTATTGATTTATTGATTTATTGATTTATTGATTTATTGTTTTATTGTAATATTGATTTTATTATTTATTGATATATTGATTTATGAATTTATTGATTTATTGAATTATTGATTTATTGATTTGTTGATTTATTGATTTATTGATGAATTGATTAACTGATTTATTGATTTATTAATTTATTGATTTGTTTTATTGATTTATAGATTTATTGATTTATTGTTTATTGATTTATTGATTTATTTATTTATTGATGTATTGATTTATAGATTTATTGATTTATTGATTTATTAATTTTTTGTTTTATTGATTTTTTGATTTTTTGATTTTGGGATTTATTTATTTATTGAATTAGTGATTTATTGATTTATTGATTTATTGATTCATTGATTTATTGATTTATTGATATATATTATTGATATATTATATAATTGATATATTGATTTTATTATTTACTGATGTATTGATTTATGAATTTATTGAATTATTGAATTATTGAATTATTGATTTATTATTTATTAATTTATTGATTAATTGATTTATTGATTCATTAATTTATTGATTTGATTTATTGATTTATTGATTTATTGATTTATTGATTTATTGATTTATTGATTAATTGATTTATTGATTTATTGATTTATTGATTTATTGATTTATTGATTTATTGATTTATTGAATTAGTGATTTATTGATTTATTGATTTATTGATTTATTGATTTATATATTTATTGATTAATTGATTTATTAAATTTTTGATTTATTGATATATTGTATCATTGATTTATTGCTATATGTATTGATTTCTTGATTTATTGATTTTTTGATTTTATTAATTTATTGATGGAGAGCAGGGTTGAAAAAATCACCAGCATTTGCTTTGATATGAATGTTTCATCCATAGTGAACTTTGATGAATTTTAGTGATTTTTCCAGCCCTGATTGATAGGCCGGAAATCGATGCCCAACGCCATTTTGAAATCCAAGATGTCAGCCTCCGATTTCAGAAAAAGGGCAAAATACTGACGACGACCCATCAATATGGGTATTTTCGGAATCGGGGTAACGTCTAGAGATCGAAAATCGATATGCGACGCCAAAATGGCGGTTTCCGATTAAAAGAAAGTGGGAAATACTGTCAAATACCCATCAATATGGGTATTTTCGTAATCGGGATGACATTTAGAGGTTGAAAGTCGATATCCGACGCTATTTTTAAATCCAATCTGGCAGCTTCCGTTTTAAGAAAAGTTGGAAATACTAACAAATACCCATAGATATTAGTATTTTTCATAATCGGGATGACGCCAAGAGAATTAAAATCGATATTCGACGCTATTTTTAAATCCAAGATGGCAGCTTCCGATTTTTGAAAAAGTGTAAAATACCCAGCAATATGAATATTTTTGGAGTCGGGGTGCGGTTTAGAAAATTAAAATAGATATGCGTCGACATTTTGAAATCCAAGATGGTGGCTTCCGGTTCAAAAAAAAAAGTGGGAAATACTGTCAAATACCCATCAATATGGGAATCAGGATGACGTTTAGAGAATGAAAATTGGTATCCGGCGCCATTTTGAAGTCCAATATTACGGTTGCCGGCTTAAGAAAAAGTTGGAAATTCTATCAAATACCCATCAATACGTTTTTTTAGAATCGGAGGAACGTCTAGAATCCATAGATCTCCGACGCCATTTTGAAAGTTAAGACGGCAGCTTCCGATTTCAGAAAGCGTGCCAAATACCCTAAAATATGGGTATTTTTTTAACCGGATGATGAAACGTAGATGCCGAAAATCGATGTCAGACGCCATCTTGAAATTCAAGATGGCGACTTATGTTTTCAAAAAAAAATGGGAAATACTTCAAATACTCATCAAAATGGGTATTTTTGGAATCGGGGTGACATCTAGAGGCCGGAAATCGATGTCCAACGCCATCTTGAAATTCAAGATCTTGGCTTCCGATTGCAGAAGAAGTGTCAAATACCCTACAATAATATTGACTTTTAGCACAGAGTTGCGACCTATGACAATCACGATCGTCAAACAGCTGATGATAGTAACGCTTGGTACACACTTAGATTTTTTTGCCGAGATGGGCACCACCGAGCAGCTCGGCATTTTATTTTGCTGGAAATTCAGCAAAAAATATGTTTGTTAGCTGAGATCTCGGCAAAATTCCCGTTTGTTAGCTGAATCTCGGCAAGTTTTTCACTGAGATCCAGCAAAATAAAATGCCGAGCTGCTCGGTGGTGCCCATCTCGGCGAAAAAATCTAAGTGTGTACATTCCTATCAATGTGCTTGTCGAAGCAGTCTCCATGACCATCCATTCAAAAATGGTGTCGAATATCAATTTTCGGCATCTACGCGTCGTCCCGTTCCAAAAATACCCATATATTAGTGTATTCGACGCTCTTTCTGACCCAGATGATTTTGCCTCGCTCCCGGTCCCTTATTGTAGGGTATTTGATACTTTTCCTGAGCACGATGGCCGCCATCTTGGACTCCAGAATGGCCTCGTTAATGTAATTTTCGTTTAATATGCAGTGTTGAGTACTTGACACTGATGAAGTCTGCATGTAGTAGGCAAAATACTCGTATCTGTCAAAAGGTAAGCAATTATAACGGAATTAAAAGGAAATAAACCAACACATTCAAAGCTCTTCATAAAGGGATTCCGTTTATAGGTTCGACAAAATTAAAAGATAAAATAACAATTTATTACTACATATAATCCGCGACGCGTGACAAGTCGAATGAGCCCCGAATTGAAGTGATAGTGGAAAAATAAAACCAAGGAAGCAGCTTTCGAGTCATTCATTACGTTAATTGAAACACGTCTTTGCTTCAAATGTAATGAACTGATGAACTTGACGAACGAAACAAGCGATAGCCAAGTCATGTTTAATGGGAGGAATGTTCATCGTGACTCGATAGCAAGAAACACAATGACTTACACGAAAATGATATTGCTCGAAAGAAAGCGATTCTGCAGAGAGTTCACTTTCTTTTTCTTAGCTTCGAAAATGCAGAAGCCTGCTATTAAGGCTGTGTTTCATTTGGTGAATTTACTCTTCAATTTGACAGAAGGAAATTTTCAAATAAGCCTATTATTGTACTAGACTTATTTCTAACAGATCAGGAATCAATTTTGACAAACACCTTTTCGAAAATCGGACGATCAACAACAGAGGTATTTTCGAACATCTTAATTTATTTTCGAAGTGTTAAATTTAAGTGAAAATTTACCGAATGGAACACAGCGATGTACGTCAAAATTGGGGCCTCTCAGTTGGTAAAGGTGCAGCTAAAAAGCGAGACCATCATGGAAGTGGCTGGGTTCGATTTCTAGCAATTTTTACAAGATTGATTTATTGTTTAAATTTTCTCTGGACTTCCATGAACTTCGGAAGGACTTCGCTGAAATTTGGCATAACTTTCGTTAGGACTTCCCTGAAGTACAGCAGGCCTTCCCTGAACTACGGCAATACTTCCTTTGAACTTCAGTAGGACTTCCCTGTCCTTCGGCAGGCCTTCATTGAATTTGGAATCTTGGAATTGAAGTTGTCATTTCAGTAGTATAATTATTATAATTATACAATAAATTGTATTTACGAATATGGTCGAAATTTCAATACTTCCCATTTTGCTAACTTGCAATGCTTGTTGGTATTAATGCATTTTGAATTTGGGTGTCTCAGTATCAACGGAAAAGCATTAACGTTCACCTAAATTAATGGGGAAGTGCATCTAGAACACTAAGTTCAGAGCACGTAATAAGCTAGTATACGATAAACAATAAGCATGAAATACAGATAAAAATAATAAGAAGAACTGCATCAAAATGGATTTTTGTCTGTCAGAAATAAATCTGCTAGATTGATAACTTTCCATCTGTCAAATTTTAACGAAAAGCTAGAGTAATCCGCCAAATGGAACACAGCCTTAGGCTGTGAACCATTTGCCGAGATAAATTTAACTCGTGGTTAAAAGTGACATTTCGAAAGTTATTTTCTATGTTCGAAAATCCCCGTGCTGTCGATCGACCGGTTTTCGAGCCACGGTTGTCAAAATTTAACTTCTTGTCTGTCAGAAATAACCATGCTCGGATAGCAGGGTTAATCGATAACTTTTCATCTGTCAAATTTTAACCAAAAGTTAAAATAATCCACCAAATGGTTCAGAGCCTTAGAAGGGTATTCGAAGTACGTTTAGCTCACAAGTGACGTCCACGACAATTTCCAAAGCGTTCTAGAAGACTACTTACTGCTGAAAAGGTATCCAACTGTATGATTGAAGCGATTAGTTTGAAATTTGAAATTTCTCGTAACAAATATTTTCACTACTAACATCGCTAGGCTAAATTTCACATCACACATTCCACCGGACATACTCATGCTCATAAATGTCTACCAATTTCAACCAATTCCTCCCAGACCGGTCAGATGGTCGTCGAAGACATCCTGGAAACGTGGCGCCTGGTGATCGTGATCCTGGTCCTCTCGCTGCTAGTCAGCCTGATCTTCATCACGATGCTCCGGTGGATTGCCAAGCCGATGGTTTGGTTCTCGATCCTCGGCGTCATTGCTGCCCTATGCTACGGTAAGGAACTATCCGCAATTCCAATCAATGTCCCAAATGCATTTTTCGAATGAAATTCCAGGAGTTTACTACAGCTACGAGCAGTACCAATACATCAGCCAGCATCCGGTCGAGAGTCACGTGAACGTGTCGCCCAATCTGAGCTCGCTGATCAACTCCTGGTTCAAATCCGATCGCACCTGGCTCTGGATACTGGTCATCCTGTCGATCCTGCTGGTCGTTCTCCTGTTGGTGGTGCTGGTCCTACGCAAACGAATCGTGATCGCCATCGCGCTGGTCAAGGAGGGAAGCAAGTTAGTATTCCCATGTACGGCTTAAATTCTCATTTCACTGATCGTTCCCGTTTTTGACGACAGAGCGGTCAGCGCAATCTTCTCCACCGTCTTCTTCCCGATCATTCCGTGGGCGATGCACATCCTGGTGATCGCATTCTCGATCGTCGTCGGCCTCTATCTGGCATCGATCGGTGAACCCATCCACCGGGTGTACGGACTGAACACTTCGACGTCTTGCGTGTGCGACAACGGCTACCGGGATGGAGACATCTGCGAGCCGACTTCATTCAACGATCACTGTCGCAACAGTTTGCTGCTGGCGCGGGATGCTCGCTGTACGGATGCGGCCTGTCACTTTCAGGAGATCAACAGCCCCAAGGAAGTGGGATATTTTCATGTGAGTATTGGATGTATTTTGGGAACACTGGTATTGATGAATTCGGTTATCGTTCTGCAGGCCGTCAACGTGGTAGGTTTCTTCTGGGGGATCTGCTTCGTGTCCGCGTTTGGTGATATGGTCCTGGCGTTCACCTTCGCCACCTGGTATTGGACGTTCCGCAAGAAGGAGCTTCGGTTCTTCGTGTTGACTACGGGATTTCTGCGGACAGTTCGTTACCACTTGGGCACGCTGGCGTTCGGTTCGCTGATCATCGCCATCTGCAAGATCATCCGGGCCATGTTGGAGTACATCGACCATAAGCTCCGGAAGTACGACAACGGAGTGGTGAAGGCTGTGCTGTGCCTGTGCAAGTGCTGCTTCTGGTGTCTGGAGAGCTTCCTCAAGTTTTTGAACACCAACGCGTACATCATGTGTGCAATCCATGGGAAGAACTTTTGCTCCAGTGCCAAGGATGCATTTAGTCTGCTGGCCAGAAACATCCTGAGGGTGATCGCACTGGACAAGGTTACAGGGTTTTTGTTTTTCCTGTCGAAGCTGCTGATCGCCTGTGGAATGGCAGCGGTAACTTATACGTTCTTCGATAATAATGGATCGACCAAGCTGCACTACCCGTTCGTTCCGGCGATAATTGTGTTCGTCGGGACGTACGTGATCGCATCCGTGTTCTTCAGTGTGTACTCGGTGGCGGTGGATACGCTGTTCCTGTGTTTCCGTGAGTGTCGAAGGTTCGATCAGTTTTGGAATCATTATATTGAAATTAATCTTTCAGTGGAGGACTGCGAGCGCAACGATGGCACCCCTGAGAAGCCCTTCTACATGTCCAAGAGCCTGATGAAGATCCTGGGCAAGAAGCAGAAGTTTGATGCACCTCGTTGAACCTAGGATTAAGCAGCACCCAGTGCATTGTAGCAGTACACAGTAATGATATCAAATACTTACTATGCCAAAACTGTATCAAAAAGTAACATGAATATTAAGGCCAAAGTGAAGAGAAAGGTAGGTGCAATCCATTAAGTCAAAAGTAGGATCGTGGTGAAGTGAGCTTTCTTTTTCTATAAGAAACCAAAAGAGGAAAAAGACTTATCCCAACCTACACATACACACACACACACGTTATCAATTTATTCGATTTGAATATCAATCATTAGCATTATCAGTGTAGGTGTTTCGTATTTGTTTCCACCTTAAAATCGAAGTTGTCACAACTTCGCCTTAAAGACACACGTACGTATTTTTATACACCTATTTATGCGTATAAATGTATTAGTATTAAGGCAACGTGAAGGAATTTAATGGAGCATTGAAAGGGAATGTTGCAAGAATTGGGAATGTTTCATTCGCGTGGAAACCGATTGTGATCGACTGCGATAGAGTGTTGTGAAGAGAAAGAGAGAATTAATATATTGAATTGAAAGTGATGAATATACCTCTGAGAAGTGTATTTTTTTATGATGAGATCAATGATTAGTGGAAGAGCATAAAACAGCATATTAAGGACATTTTATAGAACTGCAACTATTCATACATAAGGATCTCAGCCATTTCACAGCAGAGGATAAACATATGTAGTTTTATGTTTCAGACGACACATGCAAATTACATGGAAATCGTGTAAACATTGTTTAGGATGTTTCGGCTAGTGAATATCACTTCCTTAAATACAGTGGTGGGCACTGTTAACCGAAAATTTCGTTTCAGTATTTGAACTTGGCCGACTTCAGGGGCTATAAAGTTGTGACGTCTATCGCTCAGCCTAAAAATCTTTACGACTAAAACTAGGCCATATGAAGATCCCAATCTTTGAATCGAAACGTTAACGATGATAAAACTGTAACACTTTTTCTTGAAGACTGAAACCCGAAACTAAATGACTTATTCTGTAAGATCTGCCCTAAAGATCGCTGAACATCAATAATGTTCTCTAGACCTGAATTTCTCAGAGGTTTTTATTTTTTCCGCAAATGCCCTGAAGATATTTCAACTGTCCTGAAGTTCTTTGATCTATCCTAAAGCTCCCACATTTTTTCTGATATTTCAGTACTTCCTTGAAGCGCATGGAAATTCTTTTAAAACCTCTAAATTTTTATCGCTGAAGTATCCTAAATTTTCAAGAAGATCTGGAATTTTCTCTTCCGTTCCTAATTTTTTTTTAGCGTTCCAAAAAAGTTCCTGCAAGTAATGGAACATCCCTGAAAATAATACAACTGCTTAAAAATCTTTAAACTTCTCTAAAGTTCTCTGATCTTCCCTGGACTTCCGGTAAATTCCCTGAGTTTTTCGAACTTCTGTACACGGTAACCTCAAAAAACTCTTTTATGACTATACTAAAGCAGTGTCTGTTTTTATCATTTAACATCACGCGCAAGGAATAGCGCTTCAACCCAATGTAGATGAATTGCGTTCGTTTTGAATATCTTCGCTGTGAAGTACGAGCAAAACGAACAAATCTAGACCAACAATTGAAATAGGCGGAACAACCAAACGTAAACAATGGCTTTAAACACAAAATTTTCGAGAATCAAATCACTCCCACGCAAACTAACAATGCCATTCGATAAAGGAAGTTTAGTCCATCAGATGATAGTGTTAGATTGCTTAAATATGCTTCGATTATCAAGCAATTTGCGTTTAAAACCATTGTTTACGTTTGGATGTTCCGCCTATTTCAATCGTTGGTCTAGAAATGACCCAAAATTGTCAAAATCAGAAGCGATCCTCAAAAGCAAAATAATCAAATTCATTTAAGGCAAAATGAGTACTTTGAATATTGTCGATTCCAGACTAGATTCCATAGCCTAAAACCTCGATATTATCATCAATTCAGCATGAGGCAATAATTTTCCATCAATCTTCTGTGTATAAAAACCAATACAACACGTTCTACGCTCGACAAAAAGTGACACAACAGCGGGGCCCTGTTTACTAAAAATGAACACATGAATAATACTCGCGTAAAATTTGAAACAGGCCTATCAACTTTTGTACACAAAACTTGTTAAGCCCTTTTCGCGCGAACCGAATACACCCACGCAAATTAACAACACCAGCGGGTAGGAGAAATTCTCCCCTTCCCAATAGTCAGAGTTACATTTTCCTCGTGCGTGCAAAAATGTGCTGCCGAGACTCTCAACAAACCGTCTCCCGTCGCAACGAAAACAACATGTGACGAGAGAGAAAGAGACACGCGAGAATAAGATACAAGCGAGAAACAAATGCGACACCCAAAAATCCTGGCGTGCGCGAGGCTCGCGCTGATCTCATGTGCCTCATCTCATGTGCTACGATTAATGCTAGAACAGCAGAGCTGTAAGTTCTGGAAGGTGTAGGTAAACGAAATACAGGCTGTTGAAACTTGGTTGCTTTGACCGACATTTCATATGCGTTACCACAAACCATTCCTATTTTAGAGGAAAGGTAGCATATATTTGCAGTGCTTGAATTCTTGAAATCCTCTAACAGCCAAAGCCATAAATTTGCCGGTCAATTAGAATATTATTTGTTTATTTTTTTTCCGTTTCAACACTTAAATGCACTTGCATGACTAACATCTTTTGACACGTTGTTTTCAAAATATGTAATGGACAAAAATTCTTCAAAAAGTGTATCGGTATTGTTTAGTACGGGGATTTGACCGTGGCAAGACGTTCACAAATTTTCAACGTAATTTAACCATTGATCGACAACACAACTGGTATGCATTGTTAGAAGGGATAATACGTATTTTGAATAGATTATATCGGAATACTATGAATGCAGCAATGGTATGATAAGTCAATGGGTCGAAGAATTTTATGCAGAACATTTTTTTCTTGGCGTATTACCTTTACGCTTTCACTTTTACTTTGTTACCATTACGTTAATTTTTTTTTTAAACGTGCCTCATGTGATCGAGTATTCAGATAATTATATTGCCTTTGCATACCAACAGTGAGTATCGGTACTAATTCCACAAAGCGACCACCAAGCGCCACCATCTACAACAAACGGTTGACCCGAAAGTCGTACAGCCATCGCTACAACATACACCAGATAAACCAATCAAATCCAAGGGGGGGGAGGTGGCTGTCAAATACGAACAATCGTCGCCTACCTCGCATAACTGATTCCAAACGTAAACAAGCCATAAGAAACCTACAGGGTTTATTTACGTTTGGAACCAATTTCATACAAGAATGATCAGTAAGTTGATTTGACAGCACGTCTCCCCCCAGATCAAATCACCATGTTTCCATCAGCATCGGCGCAGCACCGGAATATGATTCAAAATCTCGTCGCATCCGCTCGCTGGATTTCCAGATTGTATAGTTTAAATTTTAAAAATTACCGTGTTGAAAGTTGATCTATCCATTTGAAACAATATGATATTCAAAAACATAAGCACATTCTTAAGTCATCCTTTTTTTAGCAAGTCTCTAATTCAGATCAGAAGAACATCAGCCAATGCTGGTATTTTTATACTTCCTGGCTGTCTAGGGAGCATATCTGAAAGAATATCTTGTTAATTATGCATCAATAAAACAGCAAAAAAAGGTTATCTTCCATTTAATTCCACTTTATTAATTTTGGTATCCATGACAGATACGTATTTCGACTACAATGTGCAATCTTCATCAGTGTCATTTCCACTAAAGAACTTATCAAAATCTAACCCCTTGAGTACTCATCCCATAGGTAAACAAGTCAAGATCACAGATATAACTTTAAAATTAAAATGGAATTAAATAGAAGATAACCTTTTTTTGCTGTTTCATTTAGGCATTCCGCTAACAACCCAATTTCATTACATCATTACTTATGCATCATTTCCTGAACATCTACAAAATTTCCATAGGTTTTAGAAAATTTACTCAAATTTCAAAGTTCCTTGAAATAAAACGATCATCTTCAGGAAAACTTCATCAAAGTTTGCTGCACGTCTACGTTTTTCGTTGATTTTCGGCAAAGTTCGACGCATGAAATTTCCTGAATTTGTGCAGAATTCTCTGAACTATTTCAAGTCGATGAGATGTCATCAAAGTGCTCCGAAGTTATAAAAAAAGGTCCCTGAAAAATAAAGAGGTTCTCTGACATTAATCAATTAACTTCAACGGAGATCCCTAAACTTGTATAAATTTCCCACTTCAACTAAGTTTTCTGAACTTTTCCATGATCTCAGAACTTCAAATAATTACACTAAATTTTGCTCATGCATCAATCTTGGTATTAATGCATAAAACAAAATATAATAATAATCCCAAAGAAACATTCAAAATAAGGACAGTGTTCTAGTGAAAACAGTTAACGGAACATTAGTGTCAAACGAAGCATAAGCGTTATTAATCACATTAGCGACAGTATGACAGTATTCAGCCCATACTGTCAATTACGAGCTGCGAGGTGTATGAAATGTAGTTGTCATATAACTTTTTCAGGTGCTTAGAAAAAAATACCGTGGCTGTAGATGCATTGTCAGGCAGCACCAGTAAATCAACAGAGAAAGTGGTAGAGGTCCAGCATGAAGAGGTGGTGATAATGGACGTGCTCTCAGGAGGCCGATAAAGCATGCAAAAACGAAGTTCAGCATCCTCGGCAGAAACGGTTTGCGGGTCTGTCGAGATTCGATGCGTTGCAAACAAAAAAAAGAAGGAAATTGATTTAGATCTCCATTTTAATATTTGTTTAGTCCTTCGGCTCCGCAGAGCTTTCAAAGATATTGAGCCTACTAATAACATTTTGGAAAACATGGTTTTCAATTCAGAGTGTGACAAATATGTTGGATTCATCCTAAAATTTACAATCCAGTTTTCTTATTTCTCATCATATTTTCAGGTTGACTACTACTTGGGATGAGCACACCATGCTTTTTTTCTAAATATATTAGAAATATTATTAGATATATGTATTAGATAAATATTAGATTAGACATATATTTGAACAGTTCTCAAATTTAAGTACATGTTTGAATTAACTAGTGATGTTATCGGCTACAGCTTGAAAGGCTGAAATTACAGCTGGATGAAGTCACACGAATCAATTTCAACAGCGAAGACATTTTTTTAAAGGGCTTTCTGAACTATTGGTTATCTGCCAGCTAGAAAATACCTATTATATTATGATGGTTTCAATTTCATCAACCAAGCTCAATTGGTTCCAAATCAGGCTGATCAATCTCCCAAAAATTGAGCTAATTTGATGGCGAACTCATTCTGCACTGGCTCTTTGAAGTTTATATGGGAATTGCTATAAGAAGTGTACTTTTTGTCCTCATCGTTCTAGCCCTACATCATAATGATTTACGTAAAAAGTTGTTCATCGGAGCCCCCCCCCCCCTACGTAAAATTTTCCCAGCAACAACTTTGTTTAAAACCACGTTTTAATTGAATGTCTAGAAAATTAGTTATTTCTTTATTTCTAAGTTGATAACTTTCTGGTATGATTAATCGGCTGCTTTCAGGGCAACACTGCATCTTGTCCTTATGACATAATAGCCTGGATTGTTTTTCCTATTATTCCAACGTTGTCTGCTGAGTAGTAAATGGAGCATGTCAGAAGAACATCATCTTCCTAATCAATTAATAACTAATTATCCTAGCGTTCAATTTTTCAATTCCCACATAAACTTCAAAGGGCCAAGTGT